GTGTTTCTTTGCCATTTTTATTTCTTCATCTGAGAAGTCCCTCTTTAGTTCCCTTGCCCATTTAGTAATTGGTTTGTTAGGTTTGGGAGGGATTAGTTTCTTGAGTTCCCTATATATACTGGATGTTAACCCCTTGTCTGATATATTGCTGGTAAATATTTTTTCCCAATTAGTTGGTTGTCTTTCTAGCTTGGTTGCAATAGATTTAGCTGTCAGAAGCTTTTTATTTTAAGGTAGTCCCATTTGTCGAGTCTGTCTCCAATTTGTTGTGACCCTGGGACTCTGTTCAGGAAGTTCCTTCCTGTGCCTATTAGTTAAGTGTCTCTCCTACTCTGTCCTGCAGTAGTTTCAGAGCCTTTGGCTATTTTTCAATTAGGCCATTTATCATTGTTTTGATTTATGTGAGCTATGTATGTCCTCTAGCTGTAAACCTTTATGCTTCAAATGTTTCCCACAGAACATACTTTGTTTTCTGGCTTTGCTTATTGTCTGTTACATTGAATTTTAAATATTTACATAGTCAAATATTTCTCCATTTCCCTTCGTCCTTTGAGCTTCCTGTCTTGCTTAAGAAATCTCTACACACACACACACACACACACACACTTACACACTTACACACACACACACATACACTCACCACTGCCACAAATGTCAGATGAATACAGTTTGTGTCCCTTAGGTTTTCTTGCACATTGCTGTTAATGCAGTTTTACATTTCAATATGTAATTGTCTCAGAAATTATTTTTGCAGAGGTGAGAGGAAAAGGGCTTCTTTCCCACCACCTTTGACATTCATTTTTTTTCTAAAAGTGATTTTTAAAATAAACCATTCTTTTCTTGCTGACTTACAGTACTACCTTTTTTACACCTTTGGTTCCTTTTTAGAGATTTCCTAGGACTTTTTTTTTGTCACAGTGACTTTATGTTTTAAAAACTTTGCTAAGCCAGAAGGTTTTGTTGTTGTCGTTGTTTTACAAAAGTCTTTTTCTGAAATCTCCTCTCCATATGAGTCATACATTTTTTTCCCAGCCTATGACAGTGGTAAGGAACACAGAATCGGGTCTATTTCCTTCTTAGTTATTGGTGCAGTAATAGACTTAGCATTCAGCTTGCAGATTGCAATTCTGAGTATTGCTAGAGAGTAGCCAGCAGGGGTGCTTGCTGAGAGCAAATAGGTTGAGTATAAGCTATGAAGCTCATTGTGTTCATCCCTACCCAAGATACTTAAAAAATCTTTCAGCAGATTGTGCTCAAGGCAGCACAGGTTCTGAGCTCTTCCTCTGGGACTGGCTCCCAGCCCCATCCTGACTATTTTGGGAGCTCCTCTTAGTAGGTCTACTCACCCTGGAAACAGATGGCCGCTCCTTCCTTTCATGGCTGCCTCTTGGCCAACATCACTTGCTTGGGTCATTTCAATGGCTTCCTGATTGCAGTCCCTTTCATGTGATTCTTGAAAACCTGACGGTGTGGTTCCAGTGTTTGAATCTCTCCAGTACTGCACCCTCCTCTCCTGCCCCACTCAAAGTCAAAGTCGGAGCCTTTGCAGCAGCTGCAAAGCTCTGTATGGTGACTTATGTTGACTCTCTGACTTTACTCTTTATTAGTCTCTGGATCTGATTTTTAGTTTTTTGTCAGTCATGAGGCCTGAACTCTGGGCCTGGGCGCTGTCCCTCAGCTCTTCAGCTCAAGGCTAGTGCTCTACCACTTGAGCCATAGCACTCTTTTCAGCTTTTTTTTTTACTTATATGGTGCTGAGGAATACAACCAAGGGCCTCATGCATGCAAGGCTCTGATGTTTATTAATTCATTGACTGAGTATCTGTCAAGTGCCTGCTGTCTAAGCCCTGCTGTGGATACCTGGACACATGTTCGCGAACAACACAGACTGCAATCTCTCTCTTCCTTATTATGTTAGGAGGAAGTAGGGAAGAGTCTAGGAATAAAACAGACATAATAAGATGCACCATGTGGCGTGTTGAAGTTGGGTGACCATTGTCCCTGTTAGGACCAAGGGATTTTTTTCAGGATACTTGCCAGAAAAGTGCTCTGCTACTTGAGCTACACCCCTCATCCAGTATTTGTGTATCTGAATGGCCCTCTGTTGATCAGATGTGGATTCTATGTCTCACCTCTGAGGACAGTGTCCTTCTCTGTGATGCTTTCTTCCATATCCAGCATTGTATCTCTCATTTGAGTTCTTTTTTTTAAGTCTTTCTGGTTTGTAGCTTTTCTTTAATGCCTTGCAATGGAAGCTCTCTTCCGTGCTCTTGGCTATTCATATTAATTCATATTTAAGATACAAAAATACAGATTATACAGATTGGAAGGGAAGAGCATGTACTTAGGTGGGTCTGACAGAGTTCGAGGGGTTGGCTCTTTGTGAGGACTGGCACGTAACGTATCTGTATTTATAGCATGACTGCTCATGTGTTAAGATAGGTCCTAAAGGATCTGGGAGAAAACTATCACTCAATCCCCATTTTCCAATCCTTGTATCTCACATTTTTAGCTCTATTTTATATACCCAATTTGAATTTTTTTCCTGGCAGTCTGTTCTTTCAATGAGTACCACAGATAGCCTGGCCAAGTAGACCTGTGGTTCCTAGAGGAGGATTGTGTTGATTATAATGGATTATTATAATAACTGTTGATAATTAAAACTCCTTTTGTACTAGGGATTGGTGGCTCACACCTCTAACCTTAGCCACTCATGAGGCTGAGACCTGAGGATCTCAATTTAAAGCCAGCCCAGGCAGAAAAGTCCATGAGACTCTTCAGTGAACCATCAAAAGCTAGAAGCAGAGGTGTAGCTCAAGTGGTAGTGAGCCAATCTTGAGCAAAAAAGCTAAGAGACAGTGACTAGATCCTGAGTTCAAGCCCTAGAACAAAACGACAACAAAAACAAAAAGCAAAAAAGGCAAAGGAGAGGAAAGAAAAAGAAATCTCTGTGTCTCTCTCTGTCTCTGTCTCTCTGTCTCTATTTGTCTCTGTCTCTGTCTCTCCCTGTCTCTCTTTGTCTGTCTCTGTCTTTCCGTCTGTCTGTCTGTCTGTCTGTCTCTCTCTCTCTCTCCTTCTCCCTTTCTCCCTCCCTCTCCTTTTACTGCCTTTAAGGGCAAATACTAATGTCTTTTTTGAAGGCTTACAGATTTTTTTGTGTGATGGAAATAATCTGTTTCTTGTTGAATTTCTTTCTCCAAGACTAATACCATCAATTCGGTTGTTGTTGTTTATCGTTGGTCACAGGGTTTGAACATATGGCCTGGGCACTGTCCCTGAGCTCTTTTGCTCAAGGCTAGCACTCTACCACTTTGAGCCACAGCTCTACTTCCCATCAACCTTTTCTGTCCAGTTATGATATGATATTGGGTTTTTTAGCAAGCCCAGATGTCTGAACTTACCAGGCTACAAGTTTTCTTTGTGCATGAGAATTACTTGTTTGTATCCTTGGCTTAGCCATATTAGGTTGTCTAATTCCTTTTTGACTTTTCCTAACTTTCACAAACACGTAGTCAGTTTGGGTATAATGAATCTATCAGTCTTTCCCTGTATGATTTATGTTTTCATCCCAAAGTCAGAAAAATTATTAGAAATTGGAAGAAAATACATGAGTCCATTTCAACTTTGCTTTTGGCTTTCAGCTATTTGATTCATGCAGAACATATTTTCAGATATGATTTGTAATAGAGATATAATTGCATTCCCCCACCCCCAGGTGGTGAGTGAGTTTGCCCCAAACCACTTAATAAATCACCTGTCCTTTCTCCACGGATGTTGTCTCTATCATCTTTGCTTGTCTCTTCAACAAGCAGCCACTGCTTGATTCCACGGCCTGGCTTTCCAGACAACAGCACCCTGAACAGACCAGGAAGTACTTGTACTTCTGCAGCTCCGTTCTGGGAGCATCCTCAAGTCCCAGCCTGAACATCTCCAAGAAGCCCCAGGTCTGTTCCTACGAACCAGTGCCTTGGTGCCACAACAGAAGGAATTACTGAATCTGTTCTACACTATGTGATTTTATAACATCTAGACCTTCATTTCATTTTGTTTTGTCAGTCGTGGGGCTTGAACTCTGGGCCTGGGTGCTGTCCCTCAGCTCTTCAGCTCAAGGCTAGTGCTCTAACACTTGAGCCACAGCACCACTTCTGGTTTTCTGGTGGTTTATTGGAGATCAGAGTCTCATGGACTTTCCTGCCCGGGCTTGGCTTTGAACCTCGATCCTCAAATCTCAGCCTCCTGAGTAGCTAGGATTACAGGCATGAGCCACTGGCACCCAGCCTAGAGCTTCATTTTAAAAATACAACTTTAGCCAGGCTCTGGTGGCTGAGACCTGAGGGTTGTGGTTCAAAGCCAGCTGGGGTATTCTGTAACCAGCAAAAAGCTTAGAGTAGAGCTATGGTTGAAGTGGTAAAGCACTAGCCTTGAGCAAAAGAACTCAGGGATAACACCAGGCCTTGAGTTCAAGCCCCATGATTGGGGCACACACACACACACACACACACACACACACACACACACCACCACCACCACCACCACCACCACCACCACCACCAACAACAACAACAACAACAACTTTATTGAGATCTATCTGATATTGAAGACATTGGATATATGTCATGAGGAAAATGTGATGAATTTGGAGATTGGCACATGCTTGTGGAAACATCCCTGCCATCAAGGTGGGAAACATCAATTTGCCCTCCAAGCTCCCCTGGTCTCCCCGGTTTTGTGGTGTGAATACAGCACACGAGTCCCATGCCTGGGATGCAATTGTAAGTGTGCCCTTTTGTTGAGCACAGGCAGACTATTGGTTCTAGAATGTAGCACAGTGATCCTAGAGCATTAATAGTCTTAGAAAATTTATCCCTAAAGCCAATTAGCCTGTGATTTTCAAGGCTTTATGTATACCATAACATAAACCAATAAAATTAAGCTGTTTTGAATTTTCTTTTTAGTGTTCACTTTATTAAATATTAAAGCATTTAAGAATATTAAAGCATTTGAATTAGCACAGCTGTAAATCATGAATGGTTAAAAATGGTTAAAATGTTAAAAGCATGGTTGGAACTCACGTTTTTAAGGACAAATATAGATACCCAAGAATAAAGCCAAGTACATACAATAGGGGCAATCATGAATGAGAATGGGCTGTATTGGATAGTGGAGTAAATTTGATTTTCCATAGTAATTAGAACAGATTAAACATGATAGAGTTAAGATGCACACACACCGAGCTGGGATCATTTCTATGCAATAGGTTGTGGATAGCTTAACATTTTCTGCTTCAGGCCTTTCTTAAAGTGATCTTAAAGAAGCTCCATTGAAATCGCATTGGCCTTACCCCACAAGTGACGATTAAAATGGAAACACCTCAGAGGAGCGGGAAAGTAATTGATTGAGTTCTTATATGCACTTGTCATCTGTCTCTCATAGTTATTCACACCTACATTTCCAACATCTACATTAGAGCCTACTGCTGAACACGCATGCAGTTCAAGCAAGTGCTGTGACTGCACTTCATTAAAGACAGAGGAATATGAATTGAGAATGATTAAATTCTGCAGAAGCAAAAACGGATCCAGGATATTGGGTTCCGGTCTTTGCTCACTTTCTTATACAGAGTGCGCTTCATAGCTTTGTTCGACTCTCCATTTCCTCATCTGTATCTTATACTAGACGTAAAATCAAACCCTCTTCACTTTGAGACAGTATCATGGTGTGGACAGTGTTCTGAAAGAACAGTTCTCTACCTTTAAACAGAAGTCCATGGTTTTTAAAATGTTTTATTTTCATTCAGATGGACGCTTACCTTGAAGTCAAATAGGCTTCAATGTGTTGTGTTTCATACTATGATTCCATCTGGTGGAAAGTCACAGTATCAGAGTGTGCCTGGCCGGTGGTCCCATAGCTATGTCACACCAAAGTATTTCCAAAGTTTGTTGTTGGATTGGTATTTGCCGGGCCTCTTGATTCTCATGTTCCTTTGCATTTCTACAACAGCAAATAAAAGGCAGCCACCATTCACCAATGTCTTCAGCATAAGCAATTACTCAAACATCGTCTGTACAGGAGCCTTCGCATCTGAGGGGAGCTCAGTCCTCGGGGGACCGGGTTCATTGGTGAGGTCACGCGGATTCCTCCCGTGCCAGCTGCACCTGTCTAAGCAGCGACTTCTCACAACTTTTGCTTCAAAGCATCTCTTGAAGATACAGAAAATAATCTTTGAAATAAATCAGTAACATGAGCGTAATGACCATATTTGTAGTTCTTTGTTGTTGTTTACAAGATGCTTTTCAAAGTGTGGTATTTGTTGATTTAGTGCTGGTACTGAGGCTTGAACTCAGGGTTTGCTGCTCTCAACCTGGCTATTTTGCTCAAGACTCAAAGCACCCATCCACAGTTTCACTTCTGGTCTTTTACTGGTGAATTGAGAGATAAGAGTCTCAGAGGTGTTTCTGTGTGGGCCAACTTTGAATCATGACCTTCAGCTCTCAGCCTCCTGAAGAGCAGGGATCCCATCTCTGGAAGTCATAAATACTTCTTTGACTTTAGCTTCCAGTTTCCATCACAGAATGCTTCTCTTTGTACAAAGTGATAAAAGTCATCTCTTGAAGATACAGAAAATAGTCATCTGAAATACATGCAAACTGGTAGAAGTCTTGAATCTACTGACCTGAGGATAAAGCAAGGCTTGGGCTACCAAGGGGCGACGCGTGTGCCGAGAGGGAGGGGCTGAGTGAGGTAGCATTCCTCCCTGTGACCCCCCGTTTTATCTTTCCCATCAATTAACATAATAGGGAAGTACTTGTAGTATTCAGTCATGTCTTCCACAGAGTCAAACTTCTGAAACACAGAGAGGAAATTTAATGATTTTTAACACAGATGGTACCTGTGGGTTAGAATGTAGTTAAGATCCTTCTCTCTTCCTTAGGAAGAAGTGAATTCTTCACAACTTTTGTATTATATAGGCAGGCCAGGGAGTGAATTTTTTAAAGTAATGTGTCAAACGAGCTCTTGAATGATAAAATTGAAAAGATGATAAGGGAGAATGAAAATAGCTGTGTGCTCTTGGTTCATGCCTGTAACCCTACTCCAGACTCTGGGATTCACAGGTTGAAGCCAGCCAGGGCAGTAAAGTCTCATCTCCAATTAATCACCAAAAAGCTAGAAGTAGGGGTGTGGCTCAAATGGTAGAGAGCTAGCTTGGAACAAAACACTCAGGGACAGTGGCCAGGCCTTGAGTTCAAGCTCCAGGAGCCACACACACACTTACAAATGCTTGTCAGTATCAAAGGTTCGAGGAAGGGTTAGTATTTCACATCCAGTTGTAAACCAAGGACAGAATTCTCTTCATCCTTGGCAAAACTTTTTACTCAAGAGCTCTTCACAACATTGGCCAACACACTTTGCTAAAAGATAATCTTTCCTGGCACCAATCTTCATAGGGAAAATACTTGCTTCCTATTCATATTTCTGTTTCCCCTCAGGGCTGTTCTGAATCAATGAACTCAGTATTAATTGTTTTAATAATCTACTACCTGGATGGTATTTTATATAAAGTTATAATTTTAACAAGAAATAGGAAGCAAGGCAGGTGCAATTAATCATGCTGTCATTTCTTATTGCTGGCCACTAATGTTGTGTCCACAAGTGAAATACTGCCCTCAAGAGACAGTTACAAAAGATTATAATTAAGCCTTTATTTTTATCTTGCATTCTTTTTTTTCTAAGAGGGACTGCAAATGTCACCCTAATATTAGATCTTCCAGCCTTTTCTTAAATTTTTTATGCTTATTCTATATATAAACTAAGGTCAATGTTTTTGTTTTTTCTTTCTGGGAAAGCAAATCAATCTGATCAGGTACACCTTGGTGTGAAATAAGGAGGCGCAGGAGAGAAAGAGAAAAAAAGATTTCTTGGGAAGTGAGAAAGTTATGGGTTCATGTTCCTCTCTGTTCAGTCTTCAAAATTTAAATTATCAAGCATATTTAAACTTTGTAATTTTGAGAACTGGACCCATAATCATTTGCACAGTACAGAAATGTCTGTAAATTGGCATTCCTCCCTTCTCTGAGCAGAAAGACAAACAAACATGACTTGAACACTTGTGTGCTGAGCTGGCCTTTGGGAGGTGTGTGCATTCAAAACAAATGCATCTACCGGCCAGGGCCTGGGTTCTGCCAATCGCAGCATCTGCCCAGGCACCTGTACAGATAGTGACTGATGAGTAGCCATCCCTCAGATGGTAGAGACTCTACCTTATTTCTGTGTTTCCAGACTGGAGCAGAGTCTAGCATAGTGTAAGCAGAAAATGACTTCTTGGCCAGCAGTGAAAGTGTGGCTCAAACGGTAGAGGGTCAGTCTCGAGCAAAAATGATAAGCAAGGATGCAAGTTGTAGGTGACCAATAACTGAGTAATTAGGCTTAGGAGCTGAATGCCTCAGTTTCACTCTCTGTTCAATGGTGATCTCATGGCACCTGCCTTGGGGAGGAGTGGGTAGATCACACTAGCCAATGACACTGACCTGTTAAGGAGGATGCCTGTGCTTTGCACACACATCTGAACGTATAGGGAGCACACCTAGGTTTAGGGCACATAAAGATGAGAAAGGTACACGTGAACACAAAATGCAGTTTCTGAAACTAGGAACTGTCCTCACAGTGGGGTCTTTGGTGGCACAAATTGAACACTAAAGGATGAATCTGTGGGCTGTCTCAGCAGCACCTTCTCTCCAAGGTGGTCAGCAAGTGGCAGACATCTGAACAGCTATTAGATGTCATTCCAGGCGCCCTGAGCGGCTTCTCTTCACAGTCCGGAGTAGGGCATGCTGGACAGAAAGCTGTGGCTTCGTGGAAGGCTTGGTTCCCTGCCTGATTCACAGCCTGTCTTTCCCAGATGTTTTCAAGGGCCGAGTGAGCAAGCAAATGAGACAGCCTTTGCCGGAGGGAGGTCTGGAAAGGGTTCTGCTGTGGTCTTTTCTAGATTCTCTGAGTCCAAGGAATGCTGAAGCGCAAACACTTAAAAATCACAGCAAGCTCTGAAAATGAGGACTTCCGTGAGCTGGAAGAAGATGTTGAAGGCTAAAGGAAACTTGACTTGGTGAGTCTACCCATAGCAATTCACCATGGATGGATTGTCTTCTGGTTATTGAAAGGACTCACTGACACATCATGAAAACCAGTTACTATGGGATTCAGAGGGCCCTGACCTGGCTGACACGGTACCATTTGAACCACACCTCTCCACCTCTGGCTTTTGGCTGGTTATTTGGAGAAAACAATTTCCTGGACTTCCATTCCTGAGCTGGATTTGAACCGTGATTCTCAGATCTATGCCTCTGGAGTAGCTAGGATGGCAGGTATGAGCTACCACTTCCCAGCTAATATATTGTTATTGGTGAGCACCTCAATGGGCTCGTTCCTTCCCTGGGCTCCTCACCAGCAGACCTGTACTGAGGATGGAATCTCTCCACTGAGCTCTGTGGGTGAATCCACCCTCATTTTGAATCACAATTGCCTGGGCAGTGAACACAGCAGGCTTCAGAAATGCCTGCAGCAGGAATGCAGCACAGGGCATGGAAGGGATGTGGGATGGCTTTCCCAGGAGGCAGGGTGTAGAGACCTCGTGCAGAATGGATTTTCTCCAATAGGCATAGCAGGATGGGGACACAGGCTGATGGACTGGGAGTGGGCAGGGGAAGAGGGGGAAGAGGAAGTGTTCTGTGCATTCTAGGAGCTGGAAAGGCTCACACTGCACCTTTCTCAGTAGGCATCTTCCCTCCTGTGTTCGCACTGGGAGCCAAGGCTCCAGTGCCCCCCAGACTGCTACAGAGGAAGTGATCAGGCCTCACCCACCTTGTCTCCTCTGAGGCCCGTCCCCAGAGCGAACTTCTGATCCTTCTCCAGGAAGCGGATCTTCACATTGTACACTTTGTTTCCATGAAACACTACCAACACGTAGGGCTCTGCCCTGGATTTTGTGGAACAATCTCGAACCAAGAAAGTGCCATCCTGAAGCAAAGGGAGAACAGTTGGTTATCTTCTCTAGGTAGCTCAGCATCACACCTTTGAAGAGGCCTAAGAATGAATGGCCTGTGTGTGTGTGTGTGTGTGTGTGCGCGTGTTGTTTATCTAGCTTCATCTGGTAAACTTTCATAGAATATCTGTAAATGAGGACAATTATTACTTTGTGAGAAGGACACCAGGTGGATTGTGATGTTTTCCTCTTCTTTCAGACCTCCCACCATCACCAACCTCAGCAGCCCATCTTCAACTAGGCATGGCATTCTGGGCAGATGCACTGACCAGATCAGTGCTGTCCTCCTGACTCTGAGCCAGTCACCATTTCCTGGGGCACCTGTGCCCTGGGGCTCTTGGCCTTGGTACCTCTGTCTCCCTGGCCCAGGGAAGCCTTTCCCCAGGGCGCCCCCACCCCACCCCACTGCCGTGCTTCTCCATGTCTGTCCCTGTTTACGTGTTGCCCTTTCTGCTGGGTGCTCAGTTCTCAGTCTACAGAGGGTGAGAGCTCTGGATGGGGGAAGCTTTCCTCCTAGCCTGGCTTGTGTGTGGGAAGAGGGAGCCATGGCTAGTGCTCTGCCACTTTGAGCCAGAGCTCCACTTCTAGCTTTTTAAATGATGGTTTATTGGAGGTAAGATGTATCAGACTTTCCTGCCGGGGAACGCTTTGAACTGCAATCCTTAGATCTCAGCCTCCTGAGTAGCTAGGATTACAGGCATGAGCCACCGGTACCCAGCCTTCATGGTAGGTTTAGATGTCTCTACTCCCTTTGAAGTTGGGTTTGGACACAGTGAATTTTGTCACTTGATGCGCGATCAGAGGGAAACCATGTTACTTGGGTGGAGTGTGTGTGGATGTATGATCTAGGGCGCAGAGGTGAGCACCTTACAGAGATCGCCTCCTGCTGCCTGGATTTACCCAAACAAACCTGTCTTGAACATGAAGCCCCAGCAAGTAGTGATGCTACATGACGGAGATCCTGAGGGCATTTGTTACTATAGCATAACATGTCAGATCCTGACTATTGCAGAGTTTATCATCTCTGCTCCTTCCTGAAGAAGTGAGACATAGAGACCCCACTCCATTAGCAGGAAGTAACACTTGAAGATAGCAGTGGGAGAACACCATCCATTGGGGGCCCCCTACCCCACATTCCACATTGATTCTTATTTCCTGGGGCTGGAGTTTACCTCTCAACAAAATTTATGAATAAAGTAACCTCCGGGTAAACTTGTGTCCCCTGGCTAATCATGGCACATGCAAGTCTTCCATCTGAAACTCTCCATTTTGAACCCTCCCTTTCAGTGACAGCATATCCCAGCGCAGAGAATTTCCAGGTGATTCTGGAACGACTGCCACAGCGTGCACGGCTTGTTCTGTCCTGTGACTCAGGAGGACCGCAGAAGCCGGGCCGCTGGGTCCCGTGGAGGCCGTACCTTGCTCTCCTTCACCAGGGCCTCTTCCACGGCCTGGCGGCTGCATTCTCCAACGTACCATTCTTGGTGCTGGAGCTCCTGTGGTGCAGGTTCAATGAAGAAGATCTTAGGATCCCAGGGAAGAGAAACAAGAGCCCATCTATTGGCCCTTTGCCATCTTTCCCTCTCTCCTGTGACTGGGGCAGGGAACAGAGCCTCAGCATAACCTGAGAAAATGTGGGGGCCGCCTACTCAGGAAATGGCCTTTGGATGCTCAACCTAAGTGGACATGGGTGAGAAAGCGCTTCAGGGTGTCATCCCTGGCTAATTCTCCATGAGGCGGGTTCACAAAAACACCTGGAGAATCTAGAATCACACAAAGTGGAGAATCTGGTAACAAAAGAAAGGAAGATCATAGATCCTGAAATAAAATGTTCTGGGGAATATTAGAACCCAGTCATTTGTAGTTGGAAGAGGAAAAAAGTCCTATCCCAACCCCAACCATCACCTTTTCACCATGGAACCTGATGAAATGCTGGTGACACCCAGAAGGATGTGGCCCACAAGCATCTGCCGTTACCTTTGCATCCAACATGGTGGGGACAGGTTCTCTCTGGCTGGTGTTTTTATGGGGCAGCATGTTTTCACAAGGGCCATCAGTGGCTGGAGATGGGCATCTCTGCAGAGAGCAGGAGTGCATGCTGCCTTTATGATCTGAGAGGAGAAAAGTCACAATTCAATGCGATCGCATTTCCATCTCTGTCTGCTCCGAGCACGCGCCTGCGCCTTGCTGCTCCCTTCTGGGCTGGCTCCCTGGCTTGGTCTACACATCTCACCAGTGCCTGACACTCTGTGCACTGTTCTCTGGCTTCAGCCTCGGCTCTGGCCCTGCTCACAGCAGGGGGCCTAGAGCAACCTTGGAAAAATGTGATTCTGACTTTCTTACTCACCCTGGCTACCAGTCCATACTGCATTTCCTTCCCTCCTAGGAGAAAAATCAAAGCGTCTTCCTTCTGTCTCTAAAGCTCTGGCAAACTCCTTCCTCCCTCTCATTCTATCCAGTCTCTTGACCAGAATGAACTCTGTTCAATGTATACATATCAAGCTCTTGCCACTTAGTATCTTTTAGAATAAGTTAACACAGACTAACTGCATGGAGAACATAATAAAGGCAGTTATTTTGATTATAATGTATGCACTATAAAGTTAATAAAAAACAAAAAAATGAGGTTACTTTGTATCCAATTTGAAAGAATGACCAGCAAGCTGTGGTTTATTCAGGCTTGGGTATTTGGTAGGTATTTTATTAAAAGGAAGACATCACGCTCAGCACTTTTTGGGATGCAAGGGGGCAGTGTTTCTTACCAATCGTGAATTCAGACTCTCTAAGGAGGAACTGGAATCTGGTGGAGCTCATATCTGTCATTGTGATACAATAGCAACCTGCTTGTCTTTTTTTTTTTTTTCTGATGAGATGGCAAATGTAAGTTTTAAATGACCATCTGAGACCATACTGGTACAGTTCAGGTCTCGGCTATCTTCCGGAGGCTCATGTGCTCAAGGCTGGCTCCTGAGCCTGTGGACTCTTCAGGAGGCGGAGCCTCGTGGGAGGAAGTCAGGTGAGTGGGGGGGTGGGAATGTGGAGATGCCAGCCCCTTCCTTAGTCTCTTTGCTTCCTGGCTTCAGTGAGGTTGCACATCTTCATGACACGCTGACCCCCCCCACAGGCTCTAAGGACAGGGTTAAGCAGCCATGGGCTGACACCTGTGAAAGAGCAAACCAAAGGACCTCCTCCATTTATGCTGTTTTCACACTGATGAGAATTTGACTAACAGACACGTGTGCTCTGACTTGGGTTTGAAATGTCACCTCCAAGTGTCCATATATAGGAGGCCGGGTCCCTAGCAGGTGGTGCTCCTGAGAGGCGGTTGTACCATGAGGATGCATCAATGGGTTAACCCATTGATCAGTTCATAGTTGAGTGAGCTATTGTTTATGGGGAGGAGCAGGGGGAAGTGGTCACTGAGGCTGGGCCTTTGAAAGGAAAATCTCCGTCTGGACTCTTCCTGTTGCATGCTCTGCTTCCTGCTGGCCCATCACATGCTCCCCACCATGGTGTGCGACCTCATCTTTGTCCTGAAGAGACCTTGGACTACAAACTTCTGAAACCATGAGCCAAGTAAATCTCCCCTCCTTTCAGTTGCCCTCACGTATTTGTCTCAGTGATGAAATGGTCAGTAATACATTTGTTAATACTGAAAGAATGGTTCCTATACATTCCAAAAATAGTCTTCTGTTGGTTACCATTAGGAGGTTAAAGTATACCTGCAGTTTCAGATTTTCTTCCCAAACAATACCAAAAAAATTTAAATACTTCAAGGGTTTGAATTCTGTACCATTTCCCAAGTTTTACGTTATTACTTATTAACTAAACTTTTATTAGGCATGATGCCTTTTGCTTTACTCATATTTTTCAGGTCAAAAACTGGCTGAAATTGTCTTAGTATAATAAAAGTATTTTGAATTTTAAGTGATCAGTTTTCTGCAATACTTAGATACACATAAATTCTCATAATGACCATCTTATGCTCAAAAAAATCCCAGTCAGAGGTAACACTATGGGAAAATATTAAAGGTATGAGGAATCCTTTTTGAGCTTAGTGATCTTATAGAGGGGCTGGGTTTTGGATGTCAGGGAGCAGAATCAATTCAGATAAAATCTAAATGTTGAGGTAATTGGTGTGTAAATATTAGCAGGTGATCCATTTAGCATTTTTTCAAAGTTCTTGTCAAGCTACCAAGTAGGATTTCAACTTTGTTCTATTTTTAAGGCTGAATTAAATCATTAATGCTTATATATTTGTCCCACAATGATTACTTCTGTTCCACGTATCATTTTGTCTAGGATTTTATTTATATCTCAAGGTCTTATGATTAGTTATTCCTAGCTTAAACTGACATATATGTTGGCCCAAAAATCCAGTAAAAGGTAGGCAGTTAAGAGATATAGAATATGTAAAAATAGATATGAGTTATTAATAACCACAATAAATATCAAAGGTGCAACCTTAGCCTTTAAAAGTAATATGTAGGTTGGCCTAAAAACTCTGGTGGTGTGCTAATTGCAGGCTTAAAATACAATAGAACATAGAGATCACAAGTCAAAGAATAGAGGACTATAGACCAGGCAAATTGTAAGCAAGAGAAAACGTATAGGGTTGTTATGGATGGGAAAAAATGATTTTAGAGCAAGGGAAGTGGTGACATGGTCCATGAAGAAATGTATTCATTACCTTATACAACTATGATCCCTCTGTACATTACTTTTATTATTATTATTATTTTGTCAGTAGAGAGGCTTGCACTCTGGGCCTGGTGCTGTCCCTTAGCTCTTCAGCTCAAGGTGAGCACTCTACCTCTTGAGCCACAGCACCACTTCCACTTTTCTAGTGGTTTATTGGAGATGAGAGTCTCATGGACTTTCCTGTTCAGACTGGCTTTGAACTGAGATCCTCAGATCTCAGCCTCCTTAGTACCTAGGATTACAGGTATGAGCCACTGGTGCCTGCTTGTACATTATTTTTATACTAACAATATAAAATTCACAAAAAGTTGCTTTCAAAGTTTTAATTAAAGTAAAATTGTAGGAGGCAGGCTTGGAGGCGTGACTCCTGTGATAGAGCATCAACCAATGAGCAAAAGTATCAGATGCCAAATTCGAGTCCCAGTCTCGAACAAAGAGTAATTATAGGAAGAAATACAAAATAGTTTATTATTTAACTGTCTACAACAATGGTTTCAACATGTTTTGAAACATAAGAATGCACGTGTTAGAGGAAAGTCACCATGTTCACTGGCTTCTATCACCCAGCCGGAACTTCAGGCAAAATTCAGTGATTATGAGTTTTTCATGATATTTTGGCAACTGATTTATTATGTTTCCAAGCTGAATGCCTTGCTTTAATATTTAAAAAGTCCCAGTTAAAGAAAAAGAGCATTTGGAAACAGGTATGCCTTTAGAGTCTGTTCAGAGAGTGAAACGAATCCACACACACACACACACAAAGTCAGAAGAACTTTGCCCCAAAACTTTCTTCTGAAAGCCTCATTGGATCACTGTGGTCTGAGTAAAATTCAAAGTATGAGTATATCCCACCTCAAATAATTAATGGCTTTTGCTTTAAAAATAACAGAAATAGCTAAACTTGGAGAAGTTCTTTATATAGGAAACATTGCATTTGGGATTTGCCACCCTATACAATAGGACTCCCACCTGGGAAAGGGTGGCTTGTAGCCATGAAGAGCTTGGTGCTGAGCAAACAGGACAGGATTCTGCTAGGTGGTTGAGGACACATGAGACAGGGCAGCCGAATCAGAACAGGTATGGAGTGTAAAACCAATGATTGCTAATATTGAAAGATTCCCATGTAATGGTTTTAACACTGATCCTGGCCTGTGCTGGTCATTTGATAAATGCCACCAGTGACTATGGCTAGTAGCACGAGAGAAACACAAGTCTAGACCTTTCCGTTGTCACTTACAATAAAATATTTCGTTCCACTAGTAGTTATTAGCAGGCTTTGCTTTAGCCTTACATACATTAAAAAAATTTTATAAAGGAAAAAGCCATTTTTAAAAAAAGAAAACATTAGTTAACAAAATCTCAAACCAAAACAACAAAAAAATCATCATTCATGTCAAAATTACAGAATGATATTCAACCTATAGACACCAGACACTTTTACACCCTCTTCCAACATATCAGATACATCTTTTATTTTCTTTTGAGAGCAATCTCTTTGGTTTCCTCACAGCTTAGCTTGAATTAATTTATCAGGGAATGGAGTCATGTGTTTATTAAAGGATGACTAAATTATTCAGAAAAACTAATCATTTCCAAAATTCTTCCCTTGTTTGTGAGATGAAGACCATAACATCTGTATCTATAGCGCTGTAGGCTTCACTGTTCTATTTGAAAGCCCATCCATGGGCAATTGCTTTAGAACCAATGTGCTCTAAGGACCTTATCGGACTGGGAATTTGACCAGTGTCCAGTTGGAGCATTGTTTTCTGCACATCTAATGTTGCCAAGATGCATTTTTACTCAGTAAAACACTCGTCCTGTCAGAAAGCTGGTAGGGGCTCCTTGCAGGCACGGAGGCACTGGTCAGCAGAAGCATGGCGCTATCTCCATGCTGTCCCTTTAGGGCCCGGCTCTATTTTGTATAAGAGTGATATGCTCGTGGGATGCCTGTTGTCTAAAAGAAGCAATGGAGGCCAAGACACAGTGCGTGTTCGCTCCAGGCTTCTTCAGGGACCCACACTTCCTCTGAGGTACATTGAGAGCGAGGGCAATCCTCTCAGGCCACGGGGTACTGGGGGGGGCCTGTCTCCAGTGTCCCCTACTGTGTACTGGTGCTTGCTTTTTATTTTTTATTTTTTGGGTCCAGTCATGGGGCCTGAACTCTGGGCCTGGGCACTGTCCCTCAGCTCTTCAGCTCAAGGCGAGCACTCTACCACTTGAGCCACAGCGCCACTTCT